AGGAGGAGGAGGAGGAGGAGGAGGAGGAGGAAGCAAGCTTCGCCCTTGGGGCAGAGACCGGGTCCTCTGAGTCTGCAGCACTTAGACTACGTGTTCCTCTGCAGCAGGGACAGGCCCAGCAGTCTTCTGCCTCCAAAGCGGGGAGGATGAGGAGGAAGACGAAGGTGCAGCCGATGGCCTCCCTCTGGGCGCAGACAGCTTGGCTTCTTCAGATGCTGAGGTGGGTAAAAGTAGCTGCTGCTGTTCCCATCCAGGCCTGGGACTAGGCATGAGGGTCAGGGGGGTCTTCTGAACTGTCTGTCTTAACCAGCAAAGGGGGCGGGGTCTGTCCTCTCTTACAGTCTGATCTCCTCTTGGGCATTTTGGACAGTCTGGATCCAGACCTGTTCCTGCACTACAGCAACTCAGAGGGAGCCTACTTTGAGAAGCTGCAGCAGGAAGTGTGTGGAGAAGCAGCTGGTCCCTTACCAGCCTCCCCCAGTCCCTCTCTGGGGCCCACACCACCCAAGCTGGACACCATTAATGAACTGATCCGCTTCGATCACGAGTACACCAAGCCGTTCTTCCTGGAGATCATATCGGAAGCGGCCAGCCAGACTGGCAAGCTGATGGAGGAAGTGGTGGCTTCTCCTCCCCTGCAAGCCCCCATCTCCGTGAAGGAGGAGCCTGCAGATACGCTTTTGCCTGATCTGGGCCTCTCCCACCTGCTCTCCTCAGACCAGAGGCCTCCCTCGCTGCTGGATGCAGCCAGCGACTCAGGCTATGAAGGCTCACCCTCTCCATTCAGTGACCTGTCCTCTCCTGTGGACACAGACTGCAGCTGGGAGGAGGCTTTTGCCAAGGAGCTCTTTCCCCAGCTGATTAGCGTGTGACACACGCTCAGCTTCTGGACCGCACTCAGATGGACAGGGTCTTTTGAAAGAACATCCCTCTTGAAAGTGTTTCATCTGAACCTTAAGTATTGCTTCCTTTTTTGTATGTTGCCTCTGCCCGGCACTTTCCTAATTGAGGTGTTCCATAGCCCTTCCAAGAAATGAAACTGCCACTGAGTCAGCCTTGCCGGAAGGAAAGGATCCTGCTTAGGAAGAAATTGCTAACCCCTCTCAGCAGCTTTCCCTCAACATGTAAATAAATGGGGGTGGGGGGTTGAAATATTGTGTAAATATACACATATTACTTTTTTGAAAGTTATTTTCCTGCAGCATATTTAAAATTTTGCTGTAATTAAAATGCAGAGCAAGTGATGTCTTTTCCCTACCCTTGTTCTAAAGTGGGAGGGAGGTGGCAGCAAAGGTTCGCTCAGAAAAAGGGGGAAAATGCAGAAAGCTACAGTGCAAATGTCTCATCCCTACATAAGCAGGGCTATACAGCTTTATTTCCACATAGGAGTGGAGAAGGTTTAGCTAGAAACTCTTCTAGGATTAGGGTTAGGGCGCCTTTGCACCAGCATGCATCTGCTCCATGGCTACTGGCTACATATATTACTTGATCCTTTGGACTTTCTGAAACTGCACGAAGAGTCTGGCAAAGCCTCCCATTTCAAGGCCCCTTCCCCATCTGACATAATAGTTTGCAGCCAGAGTGATGCAATCATGCTTGCAAGAAGGTTACCTCAGCAGCCAGGCATAACAGCCAAGGACTTTGTTGCCCATCGTCATCTGACACAATTTAGTACAGTTTCATTGCAATGGAGCCTTTTGCCACTAGTAATATGCTATGAGCTAACAAATCAGTGGGCCATGGCCTGAGAGCAACATGCCTCTGTTGTCACTAATAGCTGAACATTGTCAATGTTCTCAGGTGTTTATAGCAGTGTGCCACCTTGTCTGTTCCGATCTGACATAGAAGGAGGCTAAACCCAACTCCCTGACAGCTCACAATGTGCCAAAACAGATCTAGCAGAGGTCAAAGGGATTTTGCAGCGCACCCCCTCTCAAAGTAATCTTCATAGCTTTCTACTATGTAAGCCACTGAGAGCTGAACTGATTACAGCAAGGTTAAAGTGACAAATCTTCAGCACTTGTCAGCAACATGCAACATTTTACAAATGTTTTAAAAAAAGTTTATTGACGTACAAATTGTGATTTGGCCCAATAGCAGACAGACCACAATGCACTGTTGCTGGTTCCCATATTAACTATCCAACAAAACACTTCCAGAATTCCCACAAGCAATTCTTGTTCAACAAATGAGTGCCCATCTATCACTCAAAGAATTACGCTTTTGGATACACTTAAAAAGCAGGTTTTTATTCTCTGTGAGTGGGGATTGGGTAATTTCAAGGGCAGCCAATCCAATGATTGGGAATGTTACTTTATGTGTAGTCTAAGGAACAAAATCCTTTTCCCCTTTCCCACACCAGAGCAAAGTCTAACCAGCATTAATCAGAAACACCTCTGATAGAAAAGGCAGTCAGATTACTTGGATTCTGGAGGGCATAAGCAAAGCCAGCTCCAATCCTGTGGGCACTTGGCACTAGCTGTTCTCCCTGGGACATAGCATGGGCTGGTTTCTGACCTCTCACAGAACATAGAAGGGCCATCCAGCTCCTTCCCAAACTTCTATTACAAGCTTTTAAAGGGGCTTGGGCTTGCTGTTCAACAAACAGAAGAGAGAGGCACAAAGGCTTTTGCTAGAATGAAAAAAGTTACTTAAAAGCAAAGGCAACTTCACAAAGTAGCAATATTAAGGTGTCAGTTGTCAACATTATCAGAACGAGTTTACTGAGATCTATGTAACATTTTAAAGATTTGTCCAATCTCAAATTTAAAAAAGGTTATTAGCTATGAAGGCTGATACATTGGGTCCAAGAAAAGGTATCTGCAGAAAATGGAAAATAGAACCCAAGACACACAAGCTACTTTCAATCATCCCTCTTTCACGGAAAAAAAGAAAATCAAGTTTGCCCTTTCTGGATTTCTGACAGGCAGTTTGTAAAGCTTGAGCTTTTCCTTAGGTAAGCTATTTCCTGACAAGGGTTGAGGCATAAAAATTCCGCCAATAATTTCCGTTTACGGTGGTGTTGCAAGAGCTTCAGAGCCCTAGGCTGCCAACTGGCTCCTCGGGCACACAAGAAGCTAAAAGAAGGGCACAACCTGACAGCTTAGGCAGTCTGACGTTTTAACTGGTACGTTATGTACCAGCAGCTGAGCTCAGCTAGGTTGCCACAGGCATGACGTACTTCCTTCAGTGCTGCCAGTGCCCCGAGATCCCCCACAGAAGGAACTACAGGGCAAAGGGGGGTTTTGCCTCCGCCAACAGGAGCCACTCCTGGCTCAATGGTTCACACAACAGAATTCGCAAGTCAATGCCACTGACTGATGTTGAGTTGAGCTGGTGGAGGAGCTGTGTCGCCAGGCCTGAATAGACATTCCTTGCCAAGGGCTAGAACAGGAGCTTCAGGTTCGCCCACCCAGCCCAAACTTTGAAAGGCTGCAGCAGAAACGAACACTGTATTTGTCACAAGCAATCAGATTTCTCAGGATCCCTTTCAAAAAAGATCCAAACTGTACACTGGTGCTCCAAGAAAACAAGGCTTACGGGGCACAAGATTTGGCATCTCACTGTGTAAAAAGGTGACAAGGTGCATGCACAGAACCAGCCAGGTTATTTTCTGGAGCCCCAAAGTGCCTTCCCCATGTTCTGGATTTATAGGTAAACCCCTGGATTCTTGCAGAACTGCACCTTCCAATCTCTGCAGCGTCTCTGCTTGCTCAGAAAGTAAAGGTGAAGCAGCTTGCTTCTTTCCCTTCTTCTACAGCTCCATCTCTTCTTCTGCAGGCCCACTCGGTCCAACTGCCCCAAAGTGGGCCAACGGCATTTCTGCTTGCTCAGGCTGCTCGAGGAATTCGGCTGTCTGTGATGGAAAGGCAGCGTCCAGGGCTGCTCGCTTTCCAAGGCATCTTTCCGGGACCAATGGCTTGTAGGTCTTAATACAAGCCAAATCGTCTTTCTCAGGGAGGAATTCAGGGAGAGGCTTCCACAGCACCAGCTCCATCGATGGACGGCTCCTGAGGGAGACAGAGCACCAGGGTCAAAAACCACTCTCCAGGAGCACCCCATTGTCCATTCCCTGGGGCGGGTGTGCTACCCCCACCCAAGGCCCCTGCAAGGGAGGGGGCAGCTGCAATGGCAGAAGTGCTGCGTGAGGTGGCTGGGATTCAGCCCCCCCTTCCCTTTTGGGAGCGACCACCAGACATACATGGATTCAATGATTTTCTTGGTCAAGATTCCTTCGTAGTCCTGCTTCAGTCCAGTTTGCAGCGTGTGGGACAGGACCAGGGTGGGCAGGTGGCCCTCAGGCTGGCCTGCAAGTCCCTCCTCCTCGTCGTCCTCGCCCTCCTCCTCCTCGTCCTCCTCGGTGATCCTGGCATGGAAAGGAGGAAGCCTCGTGAGAGGGGCGCGGGGCAGGGGGCGGCCCCTGTGGGCGGGCGGGCGGCAGAGCGGCTCACCTGTCCTCGATCTCCCGCAGCTTCCGGCGGGCAGCCTCACACTGCTGCTCCGGCCCGGCCTGCTCCATTTCCTCGCAGGGCGCTTCCGGCGGGCCTGGGGGCGCCCCCGCGCAGGACAGCCACCCCGCCGCCGTCTTCTT